AGAGAAAGGGGTGAACTCAAAAACGGAGCAACAGTTTTAAATCCGGATTAAAAAAAGATAGGCTGGAAAAAAATCGAGACCGGTTTCTAAATACGTCCGATCCCCCCCGCCCCAGCGAAACGCTCACACCACCCCGCCTTTATTGTAACTGCCAAAATCAAGCCGCCTCCACCAAACTCGTCCTGCAAGAGGAATAGCTATTGCCCCTCCCCCCGCCTCCCCAAAAAATCTGGGGTGGAGGCATTTTTTCCTCCTTCAGGAGATCCCGTATTGTAAACCCTTTTCCTTCCTCCCTCACCCCCCCCCTCCGCCCAAATATGCTGTGATCGCTTCCCCCCCCGCTCATGAAGCCCCATTAATTTGAGGCGCCTCACTCACCTTGGCACCGATTTGGTTGCCGCACTGACCAGCCTGGATGTGGACGATTTCCCTCATCTTGCCTCCCTTTGGTCTAGCCTGATCCTGCGCCCTTTGAAGAATAGAACGCTGGGGAGCTCAAGGTTCTCTCCGCCGAACGCGCCGGGAGCGAACGTTCCAAGCGGCCGAAAAAGCGACAGCGAGAAGGGCTGGGGCTGATATAGACAAAGCTTTTATAAGCTGGAGGGTGGCCAGCCCGATGATTGGCCCACTGGGTTCACGAGCGCGGAGCCCATTGGACAGGAGAGGCGCGGACACGTAGTGTGTAGGGGGGAGTAGGGTGTGGGCCCGAGCGCAAGCGGTGCTGGGAGTTGTAGTCTCCTTTTGTTGTACAGTTTTTAAAGTGGGATTGCGGAAAAAAATGGGTGTGACAGGGGAAGAGGGAGAATCAGGCTGGGAGACAGGCCTCATTCTTTCTTCCGCACATCTCCTCCCCCGTATACACGGCATGAGGTGCACCGCAAAGCCCGAGAAAGGACGAACAGGGAGGGAGGGAGGGCGAGGAGAGGGGAGAACAGAGTGAAAGAATAAGGAAAGAAGGAATGGGAGAAAAAGGAAAGAAGGAACGAAAAAGAGAGGCAGAAAGACTGAATGAAAAAGAGAAAAGAACGAGTGTAAAGAGAGGAAGGAATAAAACAACTAAAAACAGAAAAAAAGAAAGAATGGGCGAGACAAAGAAAAGGAAGGAGAAAAAAGAATGGGAAGGGGAAGAAAAGAAAGAACGAATGAGGAAAAGAAAAAGAGGCATGAAAAGGACTGAATGCATAAGAAAGAATGAATGAAAAAGAGCAAATAGAATGAAAAAAAGGGAGAAAGAATGAATGTAAAAAAGAGAAGGAAAAAACAAGCAAAACCAGAAAGACTGACTGGGAGGAAAGAACAAGGACAAAAAAGACAATGCAGAGGAGAGAGCGAGAGGAAAGCGAACGGGGCAGGGGGAGGAAAAGGGACAGACTGGCTGAGCCAGCAGGAGCCAGGCAGCCTCCGCCCAGCCAGCCCGGGGCCCACCCTTCTCTCCTTGCTGGCGGGAGGCCATGGCTGCCTTAGCCAGGGGCCTGGGCAGGCGCCCGTCTGGCCTCCTCCTGCCCCATGGAGCAGCCTTGAGGGCGCATCCCCTGGTGGGGGTTTGGAACCAGGTTCTTGCCTCTCTAGTGGGGTAGGGCAGGGGGGCTGGGAGCCAGGACTCCTGGGTTCTCTCCCTGGCTCTGGGGGGAGAGCAGGGTCTGGTGGTTAGAGCAGGGGGGGCTGGGAGCCAGGAGTCCTGGGCAGGCTGGGCCAGTTCTTGGGCCGTGTGCTGTATGGAAATTGAGACACACACACACAACCCCCCTGTGCCACTGCCAACCCCCCATCCCATTACACCCTCCCCTTCCCAGGATCCTAACCCCTGATTATCCCGACTCCCCCTTCCCACTCCTTACCTTACCCTGCCCAGCTGACCAGCCTCCTTGTGTGACGGGTCCATCCCGCTTCCCAGCCACTCCCCAGCACCATTTCAGGGGAGGACATTGCACCAATTCAGATATTTCGGGGGGGGCGCAAATTCCAGTCCGTGCCCCCCCTCCTGGCAGGCACCCTCGTCCGTCCCTGGACCCCGGGTCTCCCTCAGTCCCTCTCCCTCCCATACCCAGAGCTCATGCGGGTGTGACCCAGCAGCAAGTTCTTGGTCCCTGTGCACCAGGTCCCGATGTGAGGGTGGCCAGGGCAGATCTGAGATGCGGTGCCAAGCACCACTCGCTGCATTCTGTCTGGGCACAGGGGCGGCCAGGCCAGATGTGAGTGGCGCTGCCACCATGCAGCTGGGGCAAAGCTGCGTGCTGCTCTGGGCACAGCCGTACCAAGCTGGGACGGGGCTTTGAGCGAGTGGTAGAATCTGGGGCAGCCTCTGCCTGGCCTGCAGAAGGCACAGTGGGAGGCAGGTACCGGCTGCCCTGCACCCCCAGTTGCCCAGGGTTCAGAGGACCCTTGAGACACTGGCCCTGTGCCAGTGAATTGAGTGCAGGGTCGTGAATCCGGGCCTGCTCCTGGGTTCTGTCCCCAGCTCTGGGAGGCGAGTGTGGGCCAGTGGTTAGAGCAGGGGGCTGGGAACCAGGACTCCTGGGTTCTGTCCCCAGCTCTGGGAGGGGACTGGGATCCAGAGGGGAGTGGCCCCATGTCCCATTTCTTGTCCCCCCAGCCATCCAGTCCCTGCCAGGGGCCAGATGGGAGCTGGCGCCCCCTAGAGGTAACATCCTCCCTAATGCTTCAGTAACCTTGTCAAGACCATACCTGCCCCAGCTCCTAGCAGGACACTGAGGCCCCCAGAAGCTGCTGCGTTGCCCCCTCCCTCAGCAGTGCACTGAGCTGCTGCTTCCTTCCCCCTCCTCACCCCCTACCCCAAAGCCGTGAGGAGGGGCTGAGAAAATCCTCACCTACAGCTGGGCACCTCTGTTCCAGCCAGGATCCCTGCTGGCATTAGCTGGCGGGGAAGGGCGGGGAGGACCTGGCCATGGGGAGCGGGCAGCCCACTGGCCTGTGACCTCGGAGTTCAAACGTTCAAACCCTGGGAATCTGGGAGCTGCAAGGAATGGGGGAGAAAGAAATGGAGGAGACACCGACTCCCCTCCCAGAGCCAGGGAGAGAACCCAGGAGTCCTGGCTCCCATCCCATCCCGCTCTAACCCACTAGACCCCACTCCCCTCCCAGAGCCAGGGAGAGAACCCAGGAGTCCTGGCTCCCATCCCATCCCGCTCTAACCCACTAGACCCCACTCCCCTCCCAGCGCCAGGGAGAGAACCCAGGAATCCTGGCTCCCATCCCATCCCGCTCTAACCACATGCAATGATAGGATCTTAACCCACTAAATAGGGCCTGTGTGTGGATCGGCAGAAGTTGCCCGAGTCATTGGCCTGGGGGCAGCCCAGGCTCCACCCATGGGAAACTCTTTACACAGCATTGGCGCGACTGCTGCTAGAACACCATGTCCCACTCCAACGTCCAGCGTTCGAGGAGGAGGTGGAAATACCAGTACGAGAACTAGGAGGGCCCCAAAAATGAGCCAGGGCAGGGTAAGAACCTTTAAGGAACTCGGCCTATTCAGCTGAACGAAGCGAAGGTTGAGAGGCGGCTGGATCCTAGACGGGAGCCTTTCACCCTTGCTGACCAAGGCCTCACAAGCGCAGACGGCTGGAAGTTGAGGCTGGACAAATTCAGCCTTGAAATCAGAGGTGTTTTCCTAACTCTGAAGGGTGATGCTGTTGTACTTAAAGTACTGCACAGGATCTTTTCAGGGGGAATAAGGCAAAGCGCCACATTTCTTCGTAATACATGCACTAATCAACACTGTATCATCTGCATATGCTAGTAGATAATGTTTTCACCCCTCAGCTCAAATACACTCACATACACACACACAAGCACACTCCGTCTTGTTGTTGTTACCAATTAGTTGCTCTCCATAACTTCACTGGCCAGGTGAGTTAGATGGGGGAGGGGGTGCAGCCGGGCTTCTGCCGATCCGGATTGATGCTCCGATGTTGACAAGACGAGACCCGGGGTCCTCTGCAAGACACCTCACATTTATAGCAGCTTCCCTCTCCTGCAGATCTGTACCAGATTCAAAATCTAGATCTGTGTCCGTTGGTCCTTTGTGCTGCTTCTTTCTGGGTGTTGTCCCAATGCTGTTCAAAGAGGGTGTTTTCAAAAGCAGGTGCTCGCTTCCAACCCCCGAGGCCATCAATATGTCTGCTCTTCTTCAGTGAGCCCACTGGACACGTTTTATTGTTCTTGGGTCTGGCTCCCAGCCGCTCTTCAACTGTTGCAGCTGTCTGGAGGTGCTTGCCCTCCACTCTTTACTCATTCACACCTCCTTCATTCAACAGGGCAATTGATTAAAAGGGGGGGGGGGAGATCTTATTCTACTCCTAGCAAAAAGACATTTTTGTTAACATTATACCAAGGCTCAATACAAATAAGGATCTGATACAAAGTTGTATGAAAATAGGGGCATAATACAAAGTCATATGAAAGTTATGTGAAGATGCTTAATGCAAAGATTTATCTACATTGTAACATTGGACCAGCGTGCCAGGGCAGTGGTGCGCGCCCCATGGCTGGGAGTCGTTCCGACGTGGTTAGATCTCTGCCCGAGATACAGACGCTGACCTGTGTGCCTGCGTCTAAGTGAGCAGGATGGTCGTGGCAGGCCCTTCTGGCCTAGCAGGTGTGAATCTACGAATCTCCCTGTCCGTCCCTGTCCTTCAGGGGCCTTGGGGAGAAGAGAATCACCAACACTGTGCAGAGTGTGGGCCTGGCCCTTGCAGCTCTGCATGAAGACAATGCGTAAAATCCAACCTCAGGCTTCACGGTTTCCGCCACCTGGGGTCAGGAAGGAATAGTTTTTCCCATTGCTCAGCAGGCCAGGTGTATCCTCTTTGGAGTTTTTTTCCTCCTCTGCATCTCACTGCACCACCGAACATGGTGAGACGATGAGACCTGACCCAAGCGTCAGAGATCGGCCATGGCTGGAGACGGGACACCAGATGGTATGACCCAGTGCTCTGAGACGGCACCGAGAATTGTCTCTCTCGCTGCCTGGCTGGTGTGTCTTGCTCCTAGGTAGGCATCCCACAGGCGTCTGCATGTCTCAGGAGTAGGGTCACCCCAGAGCCAGCGAATTGCCTGCCCTGGGACCGGATCGGAACCAACGCCCCCTAGACGGGAAAGGTCCCATGTCCCATTCCCCTGAAGCAATCAGCCTGTGCATCCATCGGCACAGATCCTTTCCCATCCACCCCCTCCTGGTTATGACAGGCCTGGGGACACAGCTTAGAACCAAGGGGGAGCTCAGAGCAGGCTGCGGGTGTCACCCAGCAGTGTCCTGGCTCGGAGGGGCGGGGAAAGGGATGCCTTTCCGTTGAGACAGGGTTGGGCCTGACATCTAGTGGTGAGATGGCAGGACTGCAACCCTGTGCCTTTCTGTCTTGGCAGGGATGGGGTTGGATGTTTTTCCAGGACCGGTTCCCACCCGGGAGATGCTGTGACTGGCTGGAAACGCCGTAGCGACAGGCATGGAAACATCAGGACACCTGGGTCCCTTCATTCAGACACTGCCCATCCCAACCATCCTCATGAGAAGAGCTACCAGGGACCTCTGCTGGTGATTCTAACTAGCCCTGGACAGATGGAGACTTCCTGCCAACCCCTCCCAGCGGCTAGTCAGTCCACTCATCCTACTAATCTATCTATCAATCCGCCATCCACACCCC